AAAACCCAACCAAATAAAACAGCCAAAAAAAATCTAACCAAAACCACACTGACGATCACAATTAAGCTGACATAAGTTATCACATCAGTGACGAGGCAACCGGGTGGTGTTAAACTAACGACACCGACCCGGACGATGGAATCCATACACTTGCCTATTTTAACCATTTCGTGACTCGTTTGTAAATAATGAGTGATGTCGTGACCGTGGAATATGTCATCATCATCATCAATTAATTTATTTAATGCTTCAGGTAAATTAATATTTGGAACCGTCCATTGGAATCGATCTAGGTCAAGAACATGACTTTTGGAGGGGAAAAAAATTGTTAAGAAAAATCGTAAATAAATTAAAATTATTAAAAGGAAGGTGGAAACAAATACCCATTATATACAACGTATTTTCTATCAGGATTTTCAACATCTCTCCATTCAAAGTAGATTTCTCCTATTAACTTGAATTTACTGAGAGCATCAACTCGTTCACTATAATTTGGATGACAACCCCTGCCTTCTGGGTTTGCATCTGGATTCGGGATATCATATTCACGTACAGGCACACAAGGAAAATAATTCAGTACCGATCCATCAGCATTTGCAACGTCAGGTTTCAACACGTCTTTACATTCAAAGTTGACCGATTGAAACAAGAATGATAAATCAGCTCGATTAAGAAGAGCATTCTCTGGACTAGATAAATCTGAATTATTAACAAAAGGAGGAACCACTTTATGCTGGTAGCTTTGTAAATCATAAATCTTTCCTAATATTGTTGCTTGGCCATTTACGACACGACCAACCGGAATCGTTTCAAAGGGTAGTTTCCTACAAAGGGCATCTCGAAGAGAAAAGGTCAAGAGACCAACTAAAATACAAAGTAATATAATGATCGTGACTAAAGCAATTTTTTCCCTCCAAGCTTGTTGTACCGACCTATCATGCATACCACAACATGATAAGATGGAAGAAGGGGCCCAAAAAGTAATAACACGGGAAAATAATACCCAAAAAGATGGGCACTGACATTGATACCATTTTTTTTTTCTTGGAGGTTCTTTGGAACTTCTTTTGGACATGAGACTTTTTCTTCTATCATCACCCCCTGGACCAGAAAATACACTCCATCTTTTCGTTTCTTCATCACCAATTTGGTCATCATACATTTGCCTCGCCGAAGTGCCGATTCTGCTATTACGATAATTATTGTTACGTGCACGTTCAGGTCTAACGAGAGATTTTTGACGGCGTGGAGGAGAATTTGCAGTTTCAGCATTAGTGGAATCATTAAGGCCTCTTATTATAGATGGCATTCTTATTAAACCTTTTGAAGGACTTTTAGGTCTTTCGGGGGATAAAGGGGTTGGACCTTCCGCTTGAGGACGTGGTCGATGACTCATTGATGTTGTAGGTGGTAGGCTTGTATGTCTATCATTTAACACATTCATTTCCACATTATCCTGAACATTTTGTTCCAAATTATTTACATTAGCGGGGGTATTGGAACGGTGAGTAGCTAATTTATCAAAATCCTTATGAAAAAGTGTCTGTGAAGAAGAACTTGAAGACGGTGATCGTTCTGTGATTTAAATGAAGGAGACAATAAAATATTTTATGAGTTAAAAGATGAAAATATTTGTCACCCACAAAAATAAATGAAGGGTGTGATGTTTAGCGTGACATTTACCTGCAGGTTGGATGTTAGAGTCAGGCATCGAAGCAACGGAAGCTCTTGCCTTGCTTCTTTCCGAGAAATTATTACGACTTCCACCACTTGAGGGGCGATAAACGTTTTGGTAAAAATCCGAGACACCTTCTTCATCAGCATTCCCGGTATTAACATTAGACGACGTTGTTTGGTCATCATTATTATTATTATTATAATTATTATTATTATTATTATCATTATTATTATATTGCTGATATTTTTGATAATTTCCGATCTTTTGGCGCTGGATCTGTTCCTGTTGCCGATCCCATATTATATTTTTTTGATATGAATCCCTTCGTTCGGATGTAGGTTTAATATTATTATTGTAAAAATTATTTGGAGAGTATGAATTCGAATTTTCATCGAAGGAACTATTTATTGGTGAACCCAGAGGAGAAGGTGAAACTGGGGGAGAATTTGCATTTCGTGGTTGTCGTTGATATCGTTTCTGATGCTGATTACGATATGATTGTTCGGAAGATGATGAATCATCTCTATTTATGGGAAGTTTTGGTAATGGTTTTCTACTCGACATTTTTTATTTGTTATATATATATATATATCTTAATAATTTTTTTTTCTTCAAAGTTCATAAAAAATCCTTTGAAATGATTATAGCATTAATGATGAATTTTTTGTTTCTCTTAAATGATCTATAATAAATACACGACCGAGACTCTTTTTTTTTTTTTTGCTATATACGTAACGCAAAAAAGAACCAGCTTATATCTATTTAGTAAACGGTAGTGAGGAGAGTTTTTTTTTTTTTTTATAGCCTTTTATTTTAAGCACAAATACAAAAAAAAAGAAGAAAAAAAAAAAAAACTCCGTTTGCACAAAGAAGTTTCTTTTTTTGTGGAGCCGGGACGTGCAAAAAGTAAACCTCTTATAGGCGTGGTATACTTTGAAGAGCTCGTTATATTACCCGCTGCGAAAAGGAAAGTGTAAGAGGAAAGAAAGAAAAAGGGAGGAAAAAAAAAAAAAGTAAGTCGTGAATTTTTTTTTTTTCTAAAATATTTTTTAAAATAACTTAAATAAATAAAAAAAAAAAAAAAAAAAAGGTTTTCTCGTATTAAAAGTTAACTGCAATATGGCGTCGTAACAAACAAGTGACCAACATATGTATCAATTACCTTTCTCAACCTCGTGTTTTTATTTTAAACGAAGAATTTTACGGAACGCTCGTTTAAAAATTATAAAAAGGAAGAAAGAAAGGGCGAGTAATAAAGTAGCTTTTTTTTTTTTTTTAAAGAGAATGCACAAAAAATATAGAGGACAACATGTCACAATTGGACCAAATATTAAATTTATTTAAGGGGAAAAAGAAAAAAAATATATTAAAATTAATATTTGCCCAAAATAGTTTTTTTTTTTAATCATGTTGTGGTCGCACATCATATATTTTTGGAAAGATAATTTAAAATAATTATTCCCAATCCGAAGCAAACGTAACTTATTAATTTATTTTGTGAGAAGAAAAGGGCTTTATTTAGGAAATTTTTGATAATCAATTCAACAACATAATGTTAGGCATTTTGGCTTGCACAATTAAGGTTTAGATTGAAAGTATTAATAGAGGAAATACAAAAAGAACGATCTTCTGGAATCGGTTACTTCATTATTACAATTTCCCCATCCGAATGCCACTTCGATTTATAAATAAACTTTTTTTTTTTCGGGTCTCGCAACGTTAGGCATTTATGCTATTTTCGTTAAATTACATTTATTCATAAAAGGAAATATAACAGCAACCATCAGTTGTGTCAAAAAAGTTCACCGTAGCACTAACAAATTTTGTGGCTTCAATCGGTGTCCGAAAACCTACGAAGAATTACGAAATGAGCCCAAATGGCGTGGAAAATTACTTCAGAAGATGTGGCGCCTCTGATGTCATGGAATCAATGACGACATGATCTTATCATGTACTCTATAAACCCTTTTTTTAATGTTATCGGATGATGACCAAATTTTTAATTTTATGAATTTTTTGACGCTTAAAAATAAAGTTGATTGCATTACATGGAAAACCCTAATTTCTAAATTTCTTGAAACACGGGGTTCTTTTTTTTTTAAAAAAAAAAAAGATTTTTTTCGACGGTTTGAACATCAAAGAGGATGAGCGGAAGTTGAAAAAAAAAGGGTAATATTTTATTCATTTTTTTATTTTTACGCCCACATACCTTTTTGAATGCAAGAACATTATTGCACGAGGTTTCAACTTATGTAAAAAGAATGTTAGCTAAAAATAGTAACATACAATATAAACATTTTAAAGTTCAAGATTATTTATGTTACCGAAAGGAGAAATATCATAGAAAGACATGGTCATTTTTGTTTTTATAACAATTATGGTATGTTAAATAAACAAAAGATAATTTCAAAAATCACAACTTTTTTGTCTAAATTTAAATTTAAAGTTTTCAAAAGTAATGTACCAATTTCGTTATTCGATGTGTTGCTTCATAATTGTCGAGTATATTTTAATTACCATTTAAAGGAAAATATATTTTTGTACAGTTCTTTTTTCAATGAGGTTATTTGGCTCATCACATGACAACCCATTTTTAAATGCAGGAAATAAAAATAACCCCAATTCTGTTTATTTATATCGAATTATTCAAAAACCGGCTTTTTTCTAGTCGCACCCATTTTCAATCTCGTTATTATTGTGTATATATATGTGCGTTTGACCGTCCAATTAAATCTCTTTTCATTCCATGACAAGTTGGATCCCATAAGTTCAAGGATTTGTATTTTTAACTTATAAACCACCATCATTTTTCACATGACCTTTGGATCTTTTCATGTGGATAATGCCACGATGGATTTTATTTTTACATCTAATGAGAAATTCATTGCCACTTTGACTGCCCAAATGGTAGTTCACAATCCACTATATTCGTTCAGTTCCATTAAGGAACCGTTTTTTTAAGTTATATCATATTATAACAATGGGAAATCGGGCCGACAGGGCTGATACATTTTCATTAAAAAAGCGGATTTGGTGAAGGGGTTTGGCTGAGGAAAAGGGGCTGGTTTTAGATTAATTAGAGTTTATTCATTGTATAAATCTTTAAACAAATTTAACTAGATTTCCTATTCGTAAAAGTTTGCTTATCGATCTTGCTTTTTATAGTAAAATTATAATAATTAATCTCGTCATACCTGTATTTTTTTTTATTATAAATTCATTATTTTATTGTATTTTTTATTTTTTATTTTTTTTTTTTGCTTTTTCTTATAAATAGTTCAAATAAAAATATTATTATTTATTATTAAAAAAAATAATTTTAATGACCAATCGAAATTCATCTGATCAAGAAAATGACAATCTTGATCCTACTTTTATCATAAATAATGATTCAGCTCGAACATTAAACCTTCCCTCGTCAACAATAAAGGCAACAACTCTGGTTCCCAACGAAACTGAGGTCGATTCGATAAAATCATCAACTTCTTCACGTACATGTAATGTAATACGACAATTTCATTATAACATACCAACGATGTAACTTTGAAATCTCAAAATAACAATAATACGAGTGATTTTATTTCACGAATAGGCGTTAATGATCCTCCTCAACGGAATATTAACCCGCAAGAAGGTTTTGATCAATCTCAACCGTATCTATTTCCCTTGACTCAAGGAAAAAATTGGATCGCTTTGATTTATTTAATACTTTGGGATTTCGCTTATTCCACATTTTGTTTTAGTTGGGTGCTAAGTACCTTTATAGTTGGGATCGTTTCTTTAATCATCCCTCCCTTGGGTTATTTCCTCCTCCTCTTATCCATTTATTCATGGAGGTGAGCTTTTTTTTTACTTTTGATTCAGAATTATTATAATTCCGGCCGGAATTAAATTTCTAAATAATTTCAACCCAGTTTTATTTATAAATAAAAAAAAACACAGACACAGACACAAAATATAAAAATAATAATACATTTAAATTTCAAACTCAGCAATTTACTTGTACTCCAAGTAAATAATCAGAATCGTAACAAAGATAAACAAAAAAAAAATCTTCTAAATATGTACATGTATATTTTTATCTTTTATTTTTATCATTTATCATGATTATAGGATGCTCGGTAAATTGGAATTATTAATCTTAAATTCAATTTCACCGGCCCTCTCTTCAAACTTCATCAACCCATCAACGGATCACTTACCACCAAGGACTACCCCAAAAATTACACAACCTCGTGAACCTTCACCATACGAAAAACCAACCCCTACATCATTTTTATCCGGTTATGAGAATTCTTGCGGTTTCTTTGATTACTTATTTCGATTATTTAAGGATGAATTTACTATACGTTGTGTATTTTATTTTGTTTTCGTGAAATTTTTCTTGTCTACTTTATTATTTTCTATAATGATCTCCTTCTTCGCCCTTAGCTTGTCTTTACTGATTTGTTGTGCCCCTTTTTGCCTAAAAGTTGCTAGGAATTTTGTTGATTGGGAGGCCAACCTTGCTAGGAATTTGTTGTTTGAGAAATAAGTTGTCAAATCGCGTCACTTGACAAAGGAACCGCCCCCACCTTGTTCGTTCCCGTGACCATCATTAGAGGTCCCCCAAATTCTTTCAACGTTTTGTTTAAAATTTAATAAAAATATTCTCGAATTACACTCAATTTGCAATTTTTTTTTTAAAAACGCTACTATAGAAGAAGATTTGCAACTTAATCATGTTTCGACTCCTCATTACCTTTTTCGAACTTTTGTTATGCGATCATTCCCTAATATTTGTAAAATGTAACGGTTACAAGTTATTTATTTATTGAATAGGCGTAACTATATCGGTTTTTCGACTCCATTTATTTTATCATTCAGTCATTAGAACTTAATGATGTATTTGTATAAATAATTAATAAGTATTATTATTAGTTAAAATTTGAATAATCGAATAGGCATCACAACCTATCTTTAATAAGTAAATTCTAAAATTAGGAAAAGCTATAGAAGGAGAAGAAAATGCCCCGGCTCACTTGTACGGATTTATGGTATTACACTAACCTTTTACACCTTAAAAAAGAAAAATATTCGTACTTACGCGATTTCTTTAATCTTAAAATACAAAATATTAATAAAGTATTAACGATTTCGTATGTAAATTAGTTACGTCTGCTTATAGGATGAAACTAAAAAAAATGTATTAAGAAGTAATAACTCAAGTTACTTTCTACTTTTTTTTTGAAGAAGGTTATTGCATCAACTTTCTCAACTGATTACAAAAAAAAAAAAGGCTTTGAAATTATATATGGAATTTTAATAATCAAGTCAGTTATGTAACTTATTTCTTTATAAGATATTATATTTGAGCAATGTACACCTCTTTAAATAACTCATTTTTTCTTTATAGTTGTAAATAACATAAAAATCTATACAAACTTTATTTTATTAATCTATTTGATTAACAAGGATTTATGCAAAAATATAACAAATGAAAAATTATAAAAACAAAAAAATCATAGATTTTGTAAGCTTATATAAGTATAATAAAATTAGTTATTATAATTTAATGAACCTAACTGACTTTATAATGTAGCTTATATTGTATTAGAAACCTTTGTAATGATTATTTCAATAAAAAATAATAATGTATATAAGTTTTACCAGTATAAATTTAGATCATATGTACAATCAACTAATATATCATTTATTTTGCAAACTTTTTCTTGCAATTTAAATTTTATTAACTAAAATATTGTTTACATATATATTAATTTTTTTGGCTATTTATTCAATGGTTTTGTTTTGTTTTGTTTTCTTTTTTGCTAATTTTAAAGCTTACTAGAGCATTAATTTTAAGTATTATCTAAAATTTTATGATCCTGCAAATTATTAACTATATATTCTTTGTTTAGTTACTTTGTTAACTAAGCATTTATACCTTTACATATTCGTGTATAATGTTCCCTTACTATGAAAGGGTAAATTTATTTTGCAATATGTTCCTTTAAGAAGTTTTCCTTTCAAATTTTATTCAGTTCTCTTTTCTTTTGAAAGAAATATTGATAAAGTGAATAAACTGATTTAAGACAATAATTTCATATTAAAAATAATTTCTTTTAATATGCTTCATATTATGTAAGATTTAAATAACATATAAATTTATTTTATTCTGAATAAACCTTATCATTTCTACATGATATTTGGGAATAATAGTTATAAATTAACTTATATTTAGTCAAATAAACCATTTTTTTTATTAAAACAAATGATATAATAAAAAAAAAATTTTTTACTTATTTTTGTAATATATATAATTATAAAATACTTATGTGAATAAATGGTTATTATATATTAAAAATTAATGAATAAACTTTCATTCATAAAAAAATAAAATCAAACATTTATTATTATTCAAAATCATTAATTTTTAATACTAGTTATATGCTTTTTCATTACAAATACTTGATAATATATAATTTAAATAATTTTATTCTTTAGAGATAACTTCTTCATAAATATATTATTTGTAGTATTTTAACAGTAAATTCTTGTTAAGAATAATATAGTAAGTAAAATATAATAATAAATTATGATGAAGGTTAATTATAATTAAAATATAATATAATGAATTTAGCGTCTGAACTGATCAGACCTTTATTATAAAAAAATTCGTTAATATTATAACAAATTATTCAATATAGTAAATGATTACTGATTTTATTATATAATTATAATTTACTATAATATAATTTTTCTAAAAATATTTTTACATTATTTTGTAAATTCTAGTCATTTTATTTTAATATGCAATTTGTTAATCATTATATGACAATTTTATAAATTTATCATTTTTTTAAATTATAAATTAAAAAAATAAAATAAAAAAATAATGAAATGAGATGAAAAAATAAAATTAAAAAATTAAATAAAACAAAAAAATAAAATTAAGAAAACTAAATAAAATTATAAAATAAAATTAAGAAAATGAAATAAAATAAAAATCAAAATTAAAAAAAACAAACTGAGATAAAAAACAAAATTAAATGAATGAAACGAAACGAAAAAATGAAATTTTTAAAAAAATTAAAAACAAAATGAAAAATTTTTTTATAATTATTATCTTACAGATATATTATAATTTTACACTTGTATTTCAAGTTTGTTTCATAGTAAACAAATTATGATTTCTCCTTTAAGTATATTTTGATTTTAAAAAATAAATATTTTTAATATAAATCTAAAAATTAATTAAATGTTTTAATTATTACCTGACCTATTCTAGAATCAAGTTTTAAAGAGCTCGTATAATCTTTCTATTATATAAGTCCACCTCTCATCTCTTCTCGCTCTATTTTAATAATTACAGAAGTCTTAAAAAATATAATTATACTATTAAATTATATTTATCATTATATTATTATTTATTTATTTACTTACATTATAATTGCATATTAAATTCTTTTATTTCTGTTTATATTTGTGAGTAAAATATGTCATATTATATCTATAATTTATTTATCAAATTACACTCTGTCAGAATCCCATTTTATTGTTTTTGTATCTAATATAATACTTGTTATTTCTCCTCTTTCTTTTTTTTACTAATAAAATCTATTTTATTATCCTTTTAAATTATTTTTGTAGCTATTTTTACGTTTAATCAAAGATGTAAAACTAAATGATTTAAAAGTAAAATTTAATGATTTAAGATTCAAAAAGTAAAAAATTATATGATAGTAAAATACTTTCCTTTATAAATAAATTTATCTATTTAATTTAATATTTTATAAAATTCTATATTTATGATTGAAATAATATAATAAGAATTCTTTATGATTAAAATTCTGATTTGTATTAAATAAAAAATCAAAATAATAATTTAAACATCATATTATAATTGTGTATTATATTATTTATAAAAATTAAATCAATTCAAATATAATAAGCAAAACTTATAATTAAAATAATAAATAAGAACTTTTCATGATTGAAATTCTGATTTATATTAAAAATAAAAATTTAAAATAATAATTTAAACATTGTATTATAATTATATATTGTATTATAGGTTCAATTTTAAAATAATTTATGCAAAATTTAATAAATATAATATATTAAACAATTAGAATAGATCAACCATAACAAATAATCACCTCAATGATAAATAAAAATTATTATAAAATTATTTACTACAATTTAGTAAAATTAATAAGTAATTTCAATACAAGCTCAACAAAAAATTAGTCAAAAATTATAAAAAATAATGTGATTTTTCAACAAAATTTTAATATAATTATAAGGGTTATTATTTAATTATTATAGTATCATTATCATACTATCATTATCTTATACTATTTTTATTATATTATTATGTAAAATCATAAAAAAATACTAAAATTATTAATGTAAAATAAATTACATGTAATACGTAAAAAAACTAAATTATATGTAAAAAAATATATAAAAAAAATAAAAAATAAAAAAAAATTCAATTATAGTTAACAAAAAATATTAAGATTAGTTTATCATGCAGAAATAAACTGCTGTTTTAAAGCTTCTTTTTTAAGCTTTTTAATTAACTTTAACTCTTTATTATTCACTTTTTCCAGTTATTCTAAATATAAAATTACTTTATCAAAAAATCCAATAGCTTTACTATAAATAATAGTTGGTAAAGAATTCTCTTCTTTTTCTTTATCTTATTTGTTAAATATAACTGTCTTCTAAATTTCTTTATTAGATATTATTTTATCTGTAATTTTAGACTTATCAAGTTAAATAAATTCTTTGGCAGTTAAAGGATTGTTAAATCAAGTTTATCAACTAAAACTTAAGCTTTTTTTAACTCTTTAAGACATTTAAGCTTAAGTTCAATTTCACTTCCCTTATCATTATCATTAAGTAAAATATTTACCTTTATTTAACAATTTTTAATAGTAGAATTTAAAATGTTATCCAATGTCTTTGAAACATTTTTTATACATTTTTTAATATTAATTTTCTCAGGTTTAATACTAAATTTATTAAAATTGTTAAAGACTTTAATTTAATTTTGTAAATATAACTTCTAATACTATACCTAAAATAAGTTGAATTTAAATTAAAGTATGAATAAAGATAGTCCTATAACTAGTTATAATCAGTAATAAATAAGCATCATAGGATTGCATCTAGTTACAATATTAATAAAAATTAAGTTGCAACTAGTTGCAACCAGTGACAAATAAGTATCACATAATTGCAACTAGTTATAATGTTATTTTTAAATATGAATAAAATATAAAGTATAAGAATATTTCAATTAACTACAATTTTTACCTTAAAACTATTGATTATTTCTTGATCATAAGATTAAAGGTGTGTCATAGTATTTGAAAATAAGTATTTGATGATGATATTAGTTAGACAAGTAGTTTTATATAGAATATATATAAGAGTATTATCAACAAGAAATATTTCAATTTTACCTTCTCATTTAAATATTAAGTTTT